CTCAGAAACCCTGGTAATGGAATCGGGACTCCAGGGGCTGGAAAGTGCAGCCTTGATCGTTAGCTCCTAAGTGCATTAGAGAGTCCTGCTCTTCCCCGACGCTGCCTGCGAGAGAGGCAGAGTCATTCCCAGACATTTTGTATGTCGGAACATTTTAAATCAGATGTGTTTGGCAAGAGTTCCGGCTCTTGTAAATCTTACAGAGGGAAGACCTGCTGAGGTGTTGCTTTCCTGCTGCCCAAGTCGCACAGACTTTGCTGACTGTCCTGCGCGGGCAGACAGTCCCGACTTTCAGATGAGTTCATTTTTGTTCAGTAGCAGTATAAGAAATGGGATACAGTGCACTTGAATCCTGTTGTATTCTTGCAGGTTAAGTCTCATTTCCTTTCAGCTAAATTTTAAGTTGTGATGTTGGGTTACTATCCATCGTTAGTTAGTCATTTTAGCATTTTTGCATACTGGGATAGCATAATGGTGTTATTACTGAATGTGCCCAGATTGCTGCAAAACTTAAGAAATGTCATTAAGAAATTCAGATATAGGTATTCAGTTCCTTTCAGCAGACATCCTATGAACAGTTTTAGGTTTAATGTTCTATGACAATTCCATATTTCACAGTTTTTGAGGAGGATCTGGTGGGAGGGAGAGGTTTTTAAAAGCAAGGCTTTTATTTTGCATAGAAGTTGATGGGATTAACTGTATTGGTTGTGATGGAGCATTGCGTCTTCGGAGCCCGTGGCTCTCTGTGAGTATGAAAGATCCTACTGCCGAGACTATCAAACAGCCTTTACGCACTCCACTGCTGCTGGTTGCCTAGGAGACCAGTGTAATCCAAGTTTTTTTTCTTTTGATTGGAGACTCTATTGACTCCTGCCATTGAGCCAGCTTCTGGAGCAGCACGCCAGCTGTCAGGAGATGGAAATAAATCACTAAGAAAGTGGCCTAAACTCTATTGATTTTTCCTGATTACAGTACATTTGGAAATTCAGACCAGCAGGGTCACTTGTCTGGGGGGGGCAAATATGAATAATATGATACCATAGCCGTTAGTAATATTATACACGCAGGGGAGTTTTGAATGCCCTCTATAGTTCATCAGTTTGCCCTGAAGTGCATCATCACAAAAAGAGGCTTCCATCTGTTTTTCTTTCCTGCGAGACGCATGCTTTTTCCCCCCTTTAAGAAAAAGGATGAGCATGTTTTCATGAATTAATTGGTTATATTATCAGCTAATACCTGTTATGGTGACCTCGGATGTTTTAACCAATTTTCTAGTGAGGAATACTAACTCATTTTCTTAATTGACAGTTGAAAATAAAAGTTGCAGTCAGATAGAATATTGTTAAAGCGTTTATTGGGCTGTTTTTGAAATAAAACCAAAGTGTTTCTTCGTATAGACTTATCCAGGTTCAACTGGCGTTTCTTTTTAGCCGATAATGTGTCTTTCCTTTTTCTCAAAAACACTGTATATTTCTTTGCTGTGTAAAATTTTGCTGCCTGTACTGAGTCAAAGTTTGATGCCTGTTTTTTATATCCTAATGAATGCATAGTTTTCCATCGGCTTAGATAAAGCACAAAGCAGAGCTGTCATGATGTACTTTATTTTCAGATAAACTTGACAATCTAAATTATGGCATGTAAGTTTTGAATTTTATGACATGTATTAATTTTTTCCTTCAATAATCTCTGTTTTGGTTTTAACATACTCTGATGGAAACTTGACAGTTTAATTACTGCAGATAGGGAACTCATTTGATCTAAATATAAATTCAGATTTGTTTGTAAAGAAGGGATGGGAAAAACTGTTTTTCCAAAATTCAAGTAAATTAAACTTATTTCAAACTGAATTTGTTTTTGGTGAAATGTTATACATTAGATTTAGATTTAAATTGAAATCCTGTTACTTTCATAACTTGTGTTTTGGTAAACAATTTTTACTGCACTTTGCTGTGTTTTCTAAAATAATAAACAAGCAAAATGAAATGTTCCACCACATTAGAAAATATCACAAATTTGTGGATAACTCAAACAACAAAAGTGTATAATTAATGTGCACACTTGTCAAGTGAGTCTTGTGAATTAGTGTGGGTTTTTTCTCTGTAAGCTGAAACAATGTCTTCAGCAAAATGAGGAAGTGGGGTTTTATAAACACGAGAAAGAGGAACAATTCCAGCAGTCTTTTCCCAAATCTGTTTTAAGAGTACGGAAATTCAGTCCTCCTGTTTGCTTTCTGATGATAGAAATCAAAATGCTTTAATGTAAGGGCCTGTACAGGAAAGTCAATATTGAATGTTGGCGTAGGTGCCTTTTTACAGACTAACAATGTAGATTTCATTGTTTATCTGCAGAGACTGATTATAAGGAATATTGATGTGGACAGTCAGCATTCCTATACCCATGTTAGCTTGCAGCGTGTTAATACATGCAGAGCACTGCAATAGTGCAAAATACATTTCAGAACAAAATGTTTCACTGAAGACAACCCACAAATGCTAAGGCAGGTGAAGATTTTTAACCCACTGTTACTTTACTTGGCCTGCTGAGCGACAGGGAGCCAAGCCTCAAGAGGTGATGTGAAAGTAATTTTTATTAACTTGTTGGGAACATTGTTTATGCTGAACAAAACCGTTCTTTATTTTCCTCTAAAAGATCAACCTTTTTAATAATGGAAACAGTAGTACACAACGGTTCACTAAACCATGATGGCATTGCGCATACAGTAGCTCTTTCACTCACATGTCGCTGTACTGTGAAGCACGTCAAGCAATATATACAGCCCACCCCTGACTAGTCTTAATTGGGGTAAATATTGCATGGGAGTGAGGCCAACGACTTTTGATCCAGCACAATATCACGTTACGATGGTAAAAGTATTTGAAAGCTTCTGTAGTGGAAGACTTTATTTCTGAAAATATTTGAGTTAGAATGGCTTCTTGTTTTGTTCACTTTCTTCACTCTGTTCACCGGAAAAACAAAACACAGTGTTGATTTTCTTTTGGAAGAGATTTGTAGCTCTTCAAAAGTGTTGCTTTTAACAAGTTACCCTTTTGTCTTAAGTTTCATCACACGTGGTTAATTAATTTTATCAGCTGTCTTATGCATTTCTGTGTGTGTAAATTAAAAATGAAGAGGTAATAAAGTGCTCTCTCCATGTTGTGCTCAGTCTTTCAGCCAGTAAGATTAAAAGGATTTATGTATTCGTTCGTCAGGATGCCTGCTCATTTTGGAGGGTTAAAGTTCTACTACTGTAAGAAAACACGGAGAGCAAAACGTGCAACAATTAACATTTTGTCGTTTCTGTGATCAGCACCTGAGCAGTTTAAATGCTGTAGAATGTGCCTTATCTCACAGGCAGATCACCATGCAAATTATCAATGTGGCTTTGAGCTTAGCTCCTAGACCTTGTTTGGCAATTTTTGGGGGTTGTTTAACAACTTTTTTTAAGTGTACTGTGTGTGAAATCCAGCAAAAGAGCACTCGGAAGACTTCAACTACGAAACATTAAACGGGAAAAGACTGAGGAGTTACCTAGCAACACTTTGCCACTGTGGACAACTGGCAAATCTGTGATTAATTTAATTTGCACAGTTAGCTCTCTTGGGCGCTACATATAAATAGTCTTTAGAGATCTGATGAAAGATTGAAAAAATAATAAAAAATAATAATTACACAAACATGTTGGAAGAAATCCTCCTTTTGAATCTAACAGAGGCTGAAGTTAATTGTAATGAATGTTCAGCATTGTGTCCAAGGTGCTCTGCTTTGCTGATATCCTGACTTATCCTCTGATGTCTTACATAATCATTCTGCACCTGAGACTGTGCTCTGCTCACTGTGATAGGTAGGAGACTCAGTACAACGCAGTTGGATTAGGTATGATAGAATTAATAGATTCTGCAGATACAGTATAACATAAAGTCTCTGGTTTGTGCCCACATACAGCTAAATTCAACATCAGTGCAGAGCTGCATTTTTGCTCTAAGGAAGTGAATGGTCACTATGGGCAGTTTATTGAAAAAGCTTTGTCAGTTGTGCTTCATTTATTATTTTTTATTCTTTACAACTGGAAAAAAAACAAGTTGTGATTTATGGGGACAGTTGACTGTTTTGTAAGCATGGTCTTAAGCAGTTCCCTGCAGGTGAGAGGATGTGCACCTATCCAGGAGGCACACATTTCACCATTAACATACAGAGTAGTCTATAAGGCCCCATCCAAGAAAATGATTTGAGCTTTCCCTGTCTGGCCTTAGAAGTTGCCTTTATTTCACCCAATCTTTCTCTTCCTCCAACAAGGGTTTATTCTAGTTGTGTGCTTTTGAGCTGATCAACTGGAAAAGGCTAGCCTTGTAGCTTCATCAGCCCATGGGATTGCAGAAGATCTGAGTTTGATGAATAGAAACCTGAAAGCAGTTCTGGACAAAGCTAGTTACGAATACAGGCACAGGGGGAACCAATAATCAGGGCATATTTGTTAATCACGGTTTCCAGTCGGCACATTTTGAAGGTGAGCAATTTTGTAAAATTAATATTTCTCACCTGCTTTGAGCACAAATTATCCCTCCTTTGGGATCACACGCGATACATAGATTTTTCTTTAGACCAAAGAAAGAGCCCTTAATGTAGAATTTAGTGTTCATAAATTCTTTAACATTCTACACATTTGTGTATTTCATTAACAAATCTTTTTTGAGCAGTTGTCAAATGTTCATTAGCAAGGAAGCTAATAGATGTGCTTAAAGATGCAGGAAATCTGACAGGTCTATCACCCTGTATTTTGACAGGTAGATATTTCTATCTGGAGTTGCAGAATTTCTGTAGGACGATAGGAGGTAAGTTTAAAATGGCTTCATATGAGACATTACTTCATCTTATGTGGCAAGGAGCCAAGAAAGGAATTGTTTTAAGCTTGACAGTTCAATTTTTTTATTTAAAAGTACAATGAAGTTTTCAGACTATCACACGCCTGTTTTAAAAGTCTTTTTTGTCTTCTTTCTCTGCAGAGCATTGGGAAAGGGTCCTTGTGGTGCATAGATCCAGAATACAGACAGAATCTAATTCAAGCATTGAAAAAGACACCTTATCATCCATACTCCCAGGTGTTCAACACCCCACCTACATCTCCTCAGGCATATCCAAGGTAAGAAAGAGATGTGGGACAGATATTGATTCCCGACGTCCTTCTTCTTGTCGATTTTCAAACGTTTGTGACGACTGTGAGCACCGACGGGTGCCAGCTCTGCCTGTGGGAGCGAAGTGTGGATCAGGGCTTTGAGAAGGCACTCAGGCTCACTTCATCCAGATCCGGCTAACAGCTCCATGTGCAGAGCCATTGAACTGTGGAAGAGAATAATTGCTTTACTGTAAAGCCCAAAACGGCATATCATTTCAACCAAAGGGTATATAGCAAACGGGAGGCTAGTTTTTAGTAAAGCAAACTTCTGAAGGTTAGTGAAAATAAATTTAACAGTAAGTTGTGGCTACAGTATCACCTGAAGTGATCTTCAAATTTTGCTTCTCTCGCAGTTTCACAATTTCATTTTTTTCAGTTTTGTTTTGGTCTAGAGCTATGCGGTATGGTAAGCAAATTGCTGTCTCTTGAGACATTTGCAAAATCTAAAACTCAGTGTAAAACAGTAATGTCATTGGTCCCAGGTCACTGCACACAGCAGTTAGAATTAATGTGCAAAGGAAATCACAGGAGGTTTATTTTAAGAAAGTTATGTGTGGGTTACTTGCGCCTATAATTGTTATTTTTCTCACAAAAAGGTTCTAAATGGTTTCCTACCCCATGTAGGAGTATGTAGGAGTATTAATTGGAAATAGATGAATAGAAATACAAACATACTACACCAAAAAGGCAGAGCCTGGCTGTAACATGTCTGTATCATTCTTTATAAACAAGGTTTCTACAGAAGGATATGTGTTTATTACTGCAGACTTGTATTTCTATATTTTAAGAATTTAAGGTGTTCTGAACAACCAGAATAAAAGATTTCAATGCATTCAGACACTTGCTCCCCACAGAAATAATTTAATGAAACTTTAGCTTCAGCAATACGAACATAACATTCAAGCAATTCTAAATGCAGGATTTATTTATAATGGGATTAAGCGTGATCTGGTTTCCTGGTTCGACAGACCCTTGACTGAGTCTTCGGCTGCCTTTAAACCACCAGTTGGTGGTAAATAAGAGGTGTTCTGTACGCACGGTGCTCTGCGAGCAGGGAAGAAGGGCTCGCGTGGGCTGGTGTCCCGTCGTTCTGTCCATGAAGCGGACAGTCGGCCTTTTCCAAGAGGGAACAAAACAAAGCCATGCCTCACGGTCCGAGAGACTACGTTGGCTCACCAAATGTGAATAATTAACAAGAAGAAGAAGAATGTGTAAATAACCGTTTTTGACAAAATTCATTCTCATTAATTACTGCGAATACGCAGTACATAAGGACACGTCTTGCATACACATAGAAATCATTAAAGGAATTTAACAGTGTGATAGCAGGGGGAGTCTTAACTGTCGCCTCTTTAAAGGTTAGATATTAAAAACATCGCTGTCGTCACATCAACTCTTATTATATTACCCTTCTCCACTCACAAACAGGCCAGATGGTACTGCACTGCATGTCAGCAGATAATAGCGTTCATCTGGCTACTGTGGATTTGGGGAAGGATACCTGTTTTAGTGCTGTCAGGGTTTATAAATGGACCTGCACCACATTGCTTCATCCTTCCTTGTTGGCTGCTTGTTTGCTAGACTGTCATGGTTAAGGCTTACTGACTGGATCTTGACTAAACCACAGCCCTTCTGGGAAAGCTGCCGAAGCCAAACGCATTCCTGAGTCATGAAGATAATTGCTGCACTTACAATATTTTCGTCCTGATGCGAGCAAGTGATCCTGATGCTAGAGGCTCCGCTGAAGAAAAGGTTTTGGGATCGTTAGGAAAGCCGTTGTGTAACTGGCAGGTTTAGGCACATTCCTTTACATGCCGATAGTGTATCTTCTGTGGGAGATCAGGAAGAACAGCTGGGCTTTGGAGTCGACTGCTGCATGTCTGCCCTTGCTCGGCGATTAGCGTGATGGTCACCATAGCAACAGGAACGCCTCCATGGTAACACATAGCTGAGACAGGTGCAGTTGCATCACAAGGCTATTTGTTGCCTGGCAAAAGGACAGGCCATTAGCGCAGAGAAATACGCTATTGCCCTGGCAACACATAACTCTCCATGGCAACAGCAGATGGCTTGGAGCCTATTTTAGGGTTTTTGTACCTGCTTTTGTCCATCTTCATAAAAATCCATGGATGCGTGAATTATCTGAGATGACAAGTTGAGGTCCGGTAGCTTTAGGAGATTAATTTTAAATGGAACTCCTTCAACTGAAAGAACAAAAAAATTGTTTAGAATGCACTCATAGACCTCTCCTCCTCTTACGTGTGCCTTTTCATACTTATAAAAACCATAAATGGAGAAATGAATCCATGCGCGTGGAGAGAAAAGTGCTGCGGACTATTTTTCCGGGGAGGGTGAATTTGCTGTCTCCTCCTGTCTTCCTTGTTTGGCTGCCCTGTACTCCCTACTCACTTCATTTTCTGCAGAACAATTACTGAGCCGTTCAGAAGGCTGGACAGCAATTGTAATGGAAATGGGAATTTCAACTTAGGATGTTTCCATATCTAACACCCTTAATGGGATTGTTTTATACAGCCAGTGTGCAGTTCAACCACAGTCACGTACTTTGTGTGCTTTGGCGGATTCTTAAATTCGGCCTTTTTGTAGCAGGTTGGGAGGAATCTTGCTACCATGTCAGAATTATTTTGGAAAAAGAGGTCGATTAAAATACAAAAATAAAACAACGTGACCTTTCATACTTGTGCTCGTGTGCCATGATTGTTTTCTTCTCTTCTTTGAAGAGATTTTGCTATTGAGCTGCATCCAGAACTGGAATATAGAAACTGATGAGGGAAAATACTTGAGCATTGTAGGAGAGGGTGTCGATATTCTGGTTTGACACCATGTTTTGGTGTTCTGAAGGTAACAGTACTAAAACTGTATTTTGGCCTGTTTTCCTAGGGTTTTGTTTTTGCTTATGTCCCCAGTAATTATTTTCAAGCATTTTTAAATTCTCTTGGCTCCGGCAGCACAGCCAAAGCATGTACCTCACACTAATGAAGACAGCCATGGAAAATATTACCCAGTGGTAATATTTTCAGAACCTCGATTTTTCCCAGCTCTGCGTGGTAAATAACCTGTCTGTAGTAATCACAGGCTACAACACGCACGCTTTGAAACGGGGAGTCTTGATTTTCGTCTTTCTTCAACCTTTGGTGTAATTAGAACATGATCTTTATGTAGAAAGACAACCTCCAGTCTTCACTCCTGTCACTTTATATCAGCCTGATTTGAACACGTCTGTTTTTTAAATCGCTGCTTTTTTATTCTTCCTTAGTAGTGTGTGGGGGGTAAGGAGGGGCACTTCGCCAGGACCTTTCAGAACTTTTCCCAATGTTGCAGATGTGGGAAAGCTGGAGGTGTAGTGACCTCCAGGTTATACTTGGCCCATTCATTTTTGTTGTGTAGTGTGCAGTTTTGTAAAGAGCACCATCTCCAAGTGTTTTGCATAGCTATGTTTGCTTAACAGCACATAGTAAATGTGCAACCGAATAGCAACCAGCTAAATCCAGTCCAGTTTCGAAGAAGGCATTCTTTATTTTTTGGTGATCAAACTGGAAATAGTGCTCTCATTTCAAAGAACTTAAGAATTTCCTAGTAAGTAAGAAATTAAAGAATGATGCAGGGCAGAATCAGAAAGCATGACTACTTAATTCAGTGAACTATAAATGTGTTCTTCACCTCATCTGAGAAAGTGCAGTATTTGAAAGCAGTTCAGAGTAGCTCATGGTGTGGACAAGAACGCCTATTGAACTGCAGCCATGTTCCAGGAAGTCGTGCCATGTTGGTGTATCAACAGCAGAGCTGGATGTCACATGCTCAGCGTGTTGATTGGCTGGGCTGCCGAAGTCTTGTGGCTGATTTTCCCTCATGTTAGAAACCGTTTGGGCAAACGGTTCTCAGCAGCAGATGGCTCTGTGGAGTGTGCTGGTGCTTTGTGTCCTGAGCGTGGCAGAGGGCTCCTCAGACAGGGGACAGCTCTTCCATGCTCCGGCCTTGAACCACAGGGGAGCTGGGTTGAACCTTTCATTCAGAATCTGAAAAGCACAGAAACCTCTTGGATAAACTTTGCACACATGATGCACACATGAAGCACAGACACGCGGCACCAACAGATTGCTGCAGTGCAGAGTATGTGTGTTACCCGTTATTGACTGATTACCAGGCATCATTAGTGAATCCTAAAGTGCTAATGTTAGCCAGGCAAAATTATTGATTTTTTGCATATTTGGCCAAATGTTATGCTATTTGTAGTTTGCAGTGCTCGTTTATTTACTAAAAACATGTTTGCCTCTACCATATTCGTCAGCATTAATAGGTCAGCGTTTATAGCATGGTCTGAGATCAGCGTTAAGTAGGTAAGCTTTATATTTATGAAATTTCCCTCTCCAGCTGTGAGATTTAAAACTTAAATTCTTTCCACTAATTGTTAGCAGTGTCTGCAGCACTTTTGCCTTAAGAATAGGTTCATTGTGAGCAGTCTGGTTCACTGGAAGGCAGCCCTGTACTTTACCAGAACAAAGTAAGTGTGAAAAAATGGCACTAGAGATTCAGTGCTGGCACCAATTAGTCTTCAGATTACTGAAAGAGGATTGTAATTTCAAGGGTAAAAAGAGAAGGGAGTGGGCAAGAGGATTTGAAATGAGATTATAGAATCAAAAAAGAGCCTAGCTTTTGTTGGAAAATTAATTCAACAGTTACACTCAAGTTGGTGAGACAATCCGTTTTCAGAAGTAGAGTGTTAGCATTACAAAACCCACAGGACATTGAGCTAAGTATAAAATTGCCAGCACGGATGGAGACAGGTTCTGCCAGTGGCACATGTTTCAATTGAAAAGCACACAGGAATGCCTTTAGTTATAGTGTCCCTGTGGTTTACACAAATGTTAACATTTTCTGAAGTAGCCTGTCGCTCTGCGTTTCATGAGCAGGCAATGGTGGTCTGCGGACTAAAGGAGGCGATCAGTTGC